TATTAATAATTATACTATATATATATATATATATATATATATATATATATATATATATATATATATATATATATATATATATATATATATATATATATATATATATATATATATATATAAATACATATATATCGCTCCCATTGATCATCGCTAGTGACATACCTTTATCAGTATCATTTGGTGTTTTTTTTGCCTGTTGTGCTACTAGGAGCACACTGGCAAGGTTGCCTTGGATAGCATCTGCATCGACTTGCTTATCATTTAGAGTATCGACAAGTGCACCCAGAAGTAGAGGCAGGCTTATCACACCAGTATTCAATAGAGTAGCCATTTCTTATGCCGACCATATACCAGGAAGCTTTATAAATACTATGTTGGATGTGTACACTATGGGGCGTCTATCAAGAAAGTGGATGCTCGACGGTAGTCCCAGCACGTTTTGATGATACTTATATGTAAATATACTTGCATGTATTTATATGGATTACAATAAGTGTTCACGTGGTGGGTGGATGTGTTTTGGCGCGCGATTTCATCAGTGCATCTGATTTCCACAGAGGGTCGTTCTTTGGCGAGGCTACGACAGGTCATATTAATAGATACAGACTAGTGTATTCCATAGCCTTCTAAACTATACAGAATAGATAAATAGAAGGCTATGTGTGTTTACATAACCTTCTGTTCTATTTTCAGCTATGTATGGTATTTATGTGAAATCTTCAATTTCACACAAGTGTTCAAATAACTATTTACAAGCTTATCATGGGCGTGTTTGAAGGAGACTATAACTTTGGCCTATCAAGTATTCTGGTCTTCACTAAAGGCAGTTATAAATGTATATTGATCAATGTGTGCGAGTATATACATATTGATGCATGTGTGCGTATATATACGTATTGATGCTTTTGTGTGCGGGTATAATATATTAATGCATGTGCGTGCGTGTACGCGTATCTAAGCAATTGTGTGTTTATGTACGCATATCCATACTTGTCTGTGTACACGTATACTCATACAAACGAGAGGGTGTGCGCAAAACAATCAACATATGTGTTTACGATAACAGTCTCCCAGGGAATGTAATGGAAAGCATTGGCTTTCACATGAATATAGTGGTTATAGCGACACAGAGCAAATAAGTATTCTAAAGGCTCGATTGCTCTATATCCGTTTACATAGCGTGGGAGTTGAGATCAATTTTGTGCAAGCACCTAATTTTTATTTGTTTAACGGCTGTTTCAACTAAAACTAGGTGTAATTGCCTGGAGGAATAAACAGACTGGAATATTTATATATATCACTACACTAACCGAAATAAGGATT